AGATCAGGTCCCCTGTTAGATGTTCTTAAGCCATTTCTTCCTTCTCATCCTTAGCTCTTATCACAGTTTTAATTACAGTATCAACAGGTACATTGCTAGGTCTCCAGCATCTAATCCGGCACAGTGCCCCTAATGTAATTGAGTAAGTATTTATTGAGTGTTTGACTGTACATAAGCAACATAAGTCCCTCAAAGGCAGAGAAATTGTTTTTGACTTTTCTCCAGAACTCTTAATATGGTGCTGGTACTTAGATAGTTATGGATGATAGTTATAATATCAGAATTAGATTTTCACTGGGCTGCTATACAGAAAGATTAGGGTAGAAAGGAAAAGCACTATAACTGGCTAGAAAGCAAACCCTGCTTCCACTTGCTTATAGAAATAATGCCATCCTTTCCCATGTTGCTTCCCCCCCACCAGAAAACAGTTCATAGTTTTTTCAAAAAACATTGAATTAAATATGGCTGAAATGGATCATTTGAAATGGTTACTTACAGCTACTGTATCCACTAAACTGATATTTCTTTGATATTTATTATATGTAAAAATTACTTGGCAGTGTAGAAAAACTAGAATTCAGTTCCAAAACCATCATGTTGAAGCATCTAGTTTTGCTGTCCTTCTGATGATGCCTGACAGAATAGCTCCCTGCACATTCACTGTAGTCACATGATGGTTGCTGCTGGCACTGGTATTTCCTTTAGAGGAAGAGATCTTTGGAATGTTTTTATGTGTACCTCCTCATGAACCTTGCTAATCACTGAAATGCAAATTTAAAGAAGGGTAGAGACCACCCTTTTACTCCTGTTACTATCACCACTTTATTCTCCCTCCTCCCTCTCAGATTTTGATTTTCATTGCTCTCAGCTACTTCCCCACCCTTTATTTTAGTGTGGAGTGTGGCAATCAGTGATAGGGAAAAGAATGAGCTTTCATAGGTATTAAAGGTATGTTAGAATTAGCATGTTCCAATTACTCTAACTCAGTTTTAAAGTCTTTAAAAAATATTGTCATTTTATAGTGAAAAGAGCTGTTGACTGTCACTAAGAATTCCCACATTTATGACTCTCAAGACCCCACATATTTTGTGTCCTAGGTCTTCAATATTTGAATATTTAAATCCCTATTATTTTCAAAATAATCAGTGATACTGTCTAAAAAATATACACAGACACTTTGTAATTTAAGGGCTCTTTTACTTTGGAACCAGCACTATGTATGGTAAATGTGTTCATCAGTTTTATTCAGTAAATTTATTTTCCAAGTGTGTGAATCCAAAATATTTGTTTTGGGATGAGCTGCTGATTCATTTAGTGCTTCTCTGTATTGTGTATCATAAAGAGAAAGGGCTTCTTGATGCATATAATGTGGGTTATTGGATGCAGAGCAGTTTCCCTCTGCAAGGACTGTATTGTGTTGTTTTATAAGATGCTTTCTTGCACCATTCATGCAAACTAAAGAATGATTTAAAACAGAGAAGTGTGCAGTACATTTTCCTTCCTTGAGTGGGAATAGTTTTTAAAATTTGGTAGTATACTGTTATCTCATTTATGAAATATTTCATTTCACTTTTGAGGAATTCAAGTTGAAATGCCAGCCATACAATAGGTGACTGGCATTAAGGCTGGCACCTAAGCAATAGAGGAATTTACTTTTCAGTGTCTTCCAAGGTCCATGAGGATGCGTACTTATTTACCCAGAGAGTATGGATCTCACTATGTTTGTCCAGAGGGTGTGACTCTGTGGAGGAAAACACTTACTGGTAAGTATCAAACTCTTACTGTGTTACGTTTCAGAAAAATATGTTTAGAAATCAATTGAATTTTAGCAGTGATAAAATCTCTTAGTCTGTGCTGGTTTCTTAACAGTGGACAGTCCCAGATGTTGAAGTCAGCACAACAAGAGAAAAAACCAAATCCTGATAAGACTTGAGGATTTTTCGAAAATTAAATGCAAAATAGTTGGGGCAAATGTTGCTGCTGGAGTCAAGACTAAATAATACAGTAAGAAGATACGAAGTTGGAGAGCTTCTCATGTTCTTGTTTTGCATAAAGTTTGCATACGCATAAGAACCAGGACTTTAATGACTTTAAGAGGGGGCAGAATTACATCACTTGGAAGTTAAAACAGCAGACTCATGTGAACTGGAATGTATATGTGTGGCCCTCACAATTTATTTTAATTTTTCTTTGCAAAATACTTTCTGTTTCTAAATAAAAGCTATGCCTTTTGAAACCTGTAAGTGATGTATACTGGCCACATCAAATCTCTTAAAAATGTTTTCCAAATTGTTAGTGTGGAACAAATGTTTGTTTTGGAAACAGTAAAACAAGGGAACGAGGGAGGGCTGATTTGAGAGACCAATTGCTATATGCCCTACTATTCCTTCTCTTTTTCTTTCCGTCAAGAACTTTAAGACATTTAATTTGACTATTGGTTGAAAAAACTTGTGAAATAACATTTGTGAATGTGATACAAAAGTTTCAAACAAACAAAACAAAAACCAGCCACCCTAATGTGTGATAGGTTGTTTGGGAATTAACTATACCACATAAACATTGCCACAGTAAAGCCACTGCCAAATCTCCCACACTACCACATGAAAGCTTAAGCTGTGCCTACGTAAGTGATGATTTAAGCCATGCTTTAAGAAGGGATGAATAGAAGAATCTGTGAAGAATTCAGTGCTCTGCTTTGGCCTTAGGCAGACAAGGGTAACATCTTAGAGCGACCAATTACTAGCTCAACAGCCTTTAGTAAAATAATCGGTGGCTCTGAGTCTGTTTCTTCACCTTTAGAATGACATGTTTTCTTACACTGTGATAACTGGCAGTGGTCCCACCATATGAATCAAGGAGTCTGAGTACATGGTCTAAATCATGGTTACAGAGATTCTGGGGAAGAAGATGGCAGGAACATCTCCTTACTGACGTGATAGAGAGAGTATTAAGAATGCATTTCTATGGGATCCATTTTTGCTTTCTTTGTGTCTAAGTCTACCGATCCCCAATCCTTAGGACTTACCTCAAAATCTCTTGAGGCAACGTTTTAGGAGATGTGGGAAGTGTATGTGGAGGCAGAAAGCATCAAGAGCAGAAAGTTTAGGTGAAAGGGTAAGAGCTATTCAGTCGTTCAGTCAGCCCTTCCTTACTGAATGCCTGCTGTGTGATAGCAGTTGGGGATGCAGTAGTGAATAAAGCAGACCAATATCCTTGCAGTCGTGAAGCTTATGTTCTAGGCCTGGGAGAAAGACCACAAACAAGTGGATGCTTTGGTCGTTGGATGATGGAGTGATAAACCTGTGCAGGGTGTGGTGAGTGGTTTTCAGTTTGAAGTAGGGCCTTCAGGGGGTGCTCATTGAAAAGGTAGTGCCTGAGTAGAAGATGGAGAGAGGTCAGGGAGCCAACCAGCTGAAACCTGGGAAAAGGGGGAGTTACAGATCTTATAAGTCATTGAAATGATTTTCTTTGTCCTTTGGCATGGAAAGCCATTGGACAGGTTTGAGCAGAAAAGTGACATGATCTGACTTCTTTTTATAAGAATCTCTCTGGATGCTGTAGAGACAATAGATAGTAGAGGGACAGTCATGGATTCAGGGACGAGTGAGTAGGTTATTGGAATACTTCAGCTGGAGATGATGGCTTGGATCAGGGTGTTACTGGTAGAAGTGATAAGTGGTCAGATTCTGGATCAGGATCGATCATTCATTTGGTTGTGGTGAGTGAGGGACTGAAAGGAGTTAAGGATGACCCCAAAGTTCTTGAGGTGACAACTGGAGGAGCAGAGTTGTCATTTCCTGTTTATGGAGATGAAGATTGGAGAGGAGCAGGTTAGGGGGAGAGATCAATTCAGGTGTGGACAAGATCAGATTCCTACTTGAGAGCCTAATATAGAGAGGAGACAGTTGGGTGTACAGTGGTCGTTACTTAAATGCTGAGTTTGCACAAATTTTCACAAGTTGGTAAGTCACAGAAGTTCTCTTGAAATGATTTAAATCTCTACAAATATGGTATATTTATATTTTATATATCATAATTTATATTTTATATATTAGGAAATAATACAGAAAGATTAATTTTCTTGAGATCATAGATATGAAACTTTGTTTTATGGCCAAAAGTTCCACATTGTTCTACTAACTTTACTATATTTGTTATAAAATAGGCATTCAAGGGAAAAATCCCATAATTGCCATAATTGATTAAACAGAGCAATACTTTTAGTTATCTTTACAGTATACTCTCTCTCTCTCTCTCTCTGTCTCTCTTAGAGAAGAAGTATAGGTAATATCTCTGATGAGGTTTATATGAAAGATTTTTTTTTTGACTTCTTAATGTGTTGCAAACTCATATTCCCATGTTGGCTTTAATTTTGAATATACATTAAAAAATTTAAAAAGTGGTGAGTGGACATGACTTAATATAATTAATTAAAGAATATACTCTTGTATTTAAAAAATTACTTTAAAAACAGTTTACTTCATGGTAGTTTATGTTCTTGTCAGTAGTTTAAAGGGAAAAATACATTTGCACAAGCTTAATGTATTCCTTTTTTCTAGTAGAATGTATAATGTTTATTTTTTGAAGCAGAAATACAAGTAATGAAAATACACGTGATTGTCGGAACTTTGTTATTATTGTTCTAGGTATAATGGCAAATTGTTCTATATATAGCGAAATAGAAATAGAAATCTATCAAAATGCCCATCCTATTTAAAGGCTTATATATTTTTGTAATTTTTATTCAATAAAGCAAAGGAATGTTTTTTTATTTTATACATTTCTAAGACATTTAAGCTTCATGTGGTTTAATGAGTTAAACAACCAGGAGCAGATTAATAGTTTTCTTAAATAAAGTAATAAGAGGAAGCACGTACCCTTAAAGGTCATAGATAGTTATTATGTGGAATATGGTTGTGTTTGGTTTTTGTAACCTTAGATTTATAAAAAATTTTCTGATCTCTCATCTCTGTAATAGCAAACTCTTTATGATTATACAGGAAGTCCTGCATGCTGCAGGAGTGGAAATGCAGTTAGCAGCTGCGGCATCCTTTTTGACCATTCTTCAGGAAGGATCAGTGTCAATTCATACCTATGCCCACTCCTTTCTCCAAGTCATTCTACTGCATCTGGAGCACAGGGACACAGGTCAGGGGCCGGGCATGCATAATTACATACTTATTGTTTCTTGTATGTAGCCATGAGTTTACTTGAATCTTGTTAGACCGAGCAGGGGTAACTGAATGAGGCCATGCTGCCCAAGAGTTGACTTAACATAGCCATTGCTGTTTTCTTACATAACCCACAAAATTCAGTATCAGTATCCTTGAAAGCTGGGGGTACATTAGTTCATCTTATGATTTATACTACTTCTTCAATTAAAAAAATTTTACATTTATACTTATACTGTTATTGTACAGCAAAGATTGTACACTTTAGGTTAAAGATATCTCCAAATATTTTTAAAGTATAAATGTTTTCTGGATGTTGGCTAAGACAAAAACTAGAGGAACTTCTTACAATAGTAATAAAAACAATTATTCCCACTTATCATGAAATACTGTTGTAACTGGCTAAGTTGAAACTATATTTGTAAGTGAGACGTTTAACTTTGCATCTTTTATCTGTCAATCAGGTGTCAGCAATGCATGGCTGGAAACTCTTCTATCTGTAATAGAAGTGTTGCCCAAAGAAACGCTAAGGCATGAGGTAATAATACCTTTTTTTTTTGTAAATAATAATAAATAAGTAGCTCTAAGGTTTTTAAGATTTTTGATAGAAAAATGGTATTTAAAAAAAATGAAGTTAGTTTTTACTCTCAAAGCAACACATGTTCATTATAGGAAATTTGAGTATTCAGAAAATAATAGGAAGATAAATCATGATTCTGCAGTTGGCCACTTTTAACATTCTATTTTCATTTCAGATTTTTCCCCTACATTTGATTGCTATTAGCCATATTATTGATCTTACTGAATTTATATATAATTTTTCATTTTGCATTGTTTTTCTATGTTACTTTAATGTAATTTGGTGGTAGCTACAAAATATTTTACTTGTTCAATATATAAGCCTGTTTTTGGTAGTTTAATATCAAAATGAGAAATGAATGAACATCTTTATAGAGCTTTTCTTGTTCTTCAGATAATTTTCTTAACTATATCTTCCAAAAAGTTGGAATTACTGGGTCAGAGGACATTGATATTCTTAAGGCTCTCAACCAGCAATTTGTGAAAATGATCTTCCCTGGACTTGTGTCAGTAATAGCATTCCACTTCAATTTGATGGGCCAAAAATGGAATTACATTTTAATTGAAATTTTTAAATTATTCTCTTGAATATTTTCTCACATATTTGTATCAGTTCTCTGTTCTTTTGGAATTATCTGCTCATGTCTTTTGGTCACCTTTATATATACTATTTATCTATCAAGGTTGCCAATCCTTTGTTATGTTTATTGGAAGCATTGTTACCAATATGTTGTTTGCTTTTTAGTTTTAAACAGTGTTCAATATCCTTTTCTCTAAAAGTTTTAGTAAATTAACATGTGCGAACAGGAAAATTAGAAAGGAAATTTGTTTCTCTAATGAAGTCATTCTTTGAATGTCATTTCTATGTTTCTTTTTTCATTCTTTGAATGTCATGTCAATATGTTTCTTTTCAAACGTGTCATAGTTGAAAAAACACTTACCTGCCAGTGAAATGTCCTTTATTGTTTTCATGAAGCATGTTTGTCCTTTCTTTGCTCCGAGGCAGTCTATGGTCCTATCTCAATGACAAAATATTTGCTAGAAAATGGGAAGATTTACCCACTTAGGAGGATATTTGTGTACTTGTCGAACATCTAGATGATTACACACATTGAAATGTTGAATGTGATGTCGACGTGTGTTATTTATCTATTTTGAAGAGTGATATGTAGTAGAATGCGGTTTTTACTCTGGAGTATCATATATTATTTAACCTGGGATTTTTAAGATTTAAAATAAGTATTTTATTTCAAATCTTCGAGTTTTAAATTATATTTACTACTATGCAGTCAGTAATTCTAGTTACCTTGTTGAGAGGAGAAGCCATTTTGACCCTTTTACTAGAGTCATAGGATTTTAGAACTTGGAAGGATATTCCTAATATCCTTCTAATTTCCATTTTAAATAGATGAGAAATAGCAAAATTAATCGGACAGATTTAAGAGTGGGGCCAGGATCAGGATATGATCTTCACAGTTCTTTGCCGTCTATTGTGCTGTTGAGGTTTTTGAGTGCTCATCATATACATAATAATATCAGCCTTGGGTTATTTTCTTCCAGTGGCAGAATTATTTAACAGAATCTGTTTGAAGCTATAATGTTTTACATTCCTTTAGGATAAATGTAAAACTTTAGTCTATATGGAATAAAAATGAATTTCAGAGTATCTGGTAATTAATTTGCTCTTTTGTTTTGAAAATGTATATTTTACAGTTATACTTTCTGCATATAGATGATCTGCATACAGCTCATTACAGAATTCACCACAAGCTTTAATTCAGTTTTTCTATGCTTGCTTGTTTTTAATTATATAATTTATCATCTTTACCTTCAGAACCCAGAAGACAAACAAGGTGATACAAGTTATGAACAACCATATACCTTAAATTATAAATCAGTTACTTTAAAATTATTTAGAACATTAACATATCCCTTAAAGAAAGAAAATAGCTGACCTTAATGACAAGAATATACAAAACTTTGTGAATTTGTTGTCTAAATCTTTTCTTTTTAGATTTTGAATCCACTTGTTTCCAAGGCACAGCTTTCCCAAACAGTCCAGTCTCGTTTAGTCAGTTGTAAAATTTTAGGAAAATTGACCAACAAATTTGATGCCCATACGTGAGTATTTGTATGTAACTTTTTGTCTGTTTAAATTGTTGATTTAAAATGTATAATGACTATGATTAGCAGTTATATTAGATTTGTTTTATTCAATACTGCATACAAGTTTAGTTGTTTTAACTTTATAGGTTTCTCAGAGCTCTACTTATTCAGATGCATTTCTTTTTGAATTTGTGGCTTTTCAAAATCAACAAGGTTAACTTTTTTTCTGTTTCCGATCTTAGTCTTCTCTGTCACATACCTACTGTAGTTTTGAGGATGAAATGATATCATCACCCTACAGATTTCAAAAATTTTCAAACATGGCATAAAGATAGACTCTCTGGTTTCTTCCATTGTTATTAATTCCTTCTTTTGTATAATTTATCTTACTGTGCAATCTTATAGAAAATGTTTATAATTCATATGCTGCCCTCTACCCAGATGATAAATACCAAATAGAAAGAATGGAATATTGTGAATTATGACATAAGAGCAAAATAAAAATTGAAGAATATTAAGTTGATGGCTAGAATCAGATATTACACTTGTCTATAGCCTTTTATTTTAGCTAAGAGGTTTACCTGCCAATCAAAATTAACCATTATTTTAAAAAGACCCACTTATGTGTATAATTTACAGGTAGCAGATGATAACATCCAAATGTATTGACATATTCAAAGTACATTGAAAACTATAAAGCTTTATATTAAAGTATATGTGTTATTATTGAACTTAAGATTTTTGGTGATAATTGTTTGAAAATATTAATTATTCTAGAACACTCACCCTTTTTCATGTTTCTTTCTTCCCCTCCTAAGCATTAAAAGAGAAATACTTCCCCTGGTAAAATCATTCTGTCAAGATGTAGAATATGAAGTTCGATCTTGTATGTGTCGGCAATTAGAAAACATAGCTCAAGGCATTGGGTAAGTATATGGTCAATTTCTCATGTTGTGTTCTTATTTCTGGATTGTCAGATGCACACATCCTCTTCCTGTATCCCTTGAAAGCATGTTGTTAAAGGGCTAAACTTTATATGATCTTAAAATGATTATAACAACATGTATGTCCTGATTTGTCAGGATAAAAGAGATAAAAGTGAAGATGTTTAGCATGGAGTAGTCATTCAATTAATGCCATTTTTCCCCCCTCACTTTACATTACTTAGTTGTCACCTGAAATGCCTAGATTCAGAAAGGGAAAATGTCCCATGTAAACCATGCTTGGACTACAACTGTAGCATTTCTTTTGTCTGGTAGCTGTATTACTGGGTCATTTCAGATAGAATTAACTCAGTGGAAGTCTTTCATCATCTCTTGTGCAACTCCGCCTCCACCGTCTGCTTTGTTGCTCTCTTTATCTTTTGTGTAAAGCTCAGGAAGGAGAGGCATAGAGCAGACAGGGTCCTCTCTTCATCTATAAAAATTGATCTCTTGTCAAGTATGATATGAAAGGAAGTTTTATCTAAAAACCATTTTGGGAAATTGTGTTTTTTTTTGAGATCCTAAATTTGTATAAAAAACATTGGAACCTCAGCACTAAGGTCAGAAAGGAAAAACATACTTTTGAAAAAGTTGATGAAACTTTTAATTCTGGTAACATGGCAAATAAGATAACCTGAAAATCCCCTAATTACAATATCTGACAAAATTCAACATTCATTCATGATAAAAACTCTCAGGAAACTAGGGGTGGAGAGAATTTCCTCAATCTGATACAGGGCATATAGGAAAAACCTATAGCTAGCATTATACTTAATGGTAGATATTGACTGCTTCCCCTCTCAAGTAAGAACTAGGCAAGGATAGTTTTCATCACTTCTGTTCTACACTCTACAGTAGGTTGTAGCTAGTGAAATAAGGCAAGAAAACAAAAACCTAAAAGGTCTAAAAATCTGAAAGGAAGAAGTAAAATGATTTCTATTTGTAGGTGATATCACTGTTTACATAGAAAATCATCAGTGATTTACGAAACAACTACTAGAATTAATAAATGAATTTAAGGATACAAGGTTAACATACAAAAGTCAACTGTGTTTTTCTATACTGGGAGAAGATATTTAGACAATGAAAAATTTAAATTTCCATTTATAATGAACTTAACAAAAGATGTGCAAGACCTCGACACTGAAAAACTACAGAACAGTATTAAGAGTCATTAAAAAAAACAAAGAGGTAGACAGCATATTCATGGATTGAAAGGTTGAAAATTGTGAATGTTAAAATGTCAATTCTCCCCAAATTGATCTAGCCATTCATTGCAATCTCAACCAAAATTGTAGAAAACGTGATTTTAAAATTTATATGGAAATAAAAAATGACCTGGATTGCTTTGGCTATTCTAAAAAAAAAATACAGAGACCTTACATTACTTGTTTTCAAGACTTACAATAAAATTACAATAATCAAAAGAATGTAATGTTAGTGAAAATATAGATGTATAGATCACTGGAACAGAAGAGAGGGTCTGGAAATAGACCCACACAATTATGGCCAATTGATTTTCAATTGAGTGTCAAAACAATTCAATGAGGAGAGGAAAGTCTTTTTCAAAATGCAGTATTGGAATAATGAATCATTCATAAGAGAAAAGAAATGAATATGGACTCTCACACCTTAAATAAAAGCTAGATATCTATCATAGGCCTAAATATAAAAGCTAAGACTATAAAGCTCCTTGAAAAAAATATATAAGAAAATCTTTGTGACTTTGGAGCCGGTAAGGATTAGTTAGGTTAAAATCATGAACTATGAAAGAAAACTGTGATAATGAGACTTTATCAAAATAACTTCTGCTCTTCAAAACAAAAGTCAACCCCAGACTGGAAAACTATTCACAATACATATATCAAGCTTGTGTCCAGAATATAGAAAGAACTCTAAACAGTTCAATCATCTAAACTCAATATACAAGACTCTTATAAACAACCCAGTTGAGAAATGAGAAGTTCATTTGAACACTGACATCACAAAGGAAGATATAATACATGACCAAAAAGCACATGAAAAGATACTGTCGTAATCATAAAGAGAAATGTAAATTAAAATCACAATGAGGTACTGCTACACATTCACTAGAATGGCTAAACTAAAGAGCCTGTCAGTATCAAATGTTGATGAGGACTTGGAGCAACTGGTACTCCCATACACTGCTGGTGGAACTATGAAATAATGGAACCCACTTTGTAAACTGATTGAAATTTACTTAAAAGTTAAACATACATTGTCTAAATGACCTAGTCATTTTACTTTTAAGAATTTATCCAAGAGAATACAAAATATATGTCCACAACAAGAATTGTATTATGTACATGTGTTGATAGTAGCTTTATTTCTGATAGTCAAAACTGGAACAATCCAAATGTCTATCAACAGGTATGTGGAAAAATAAAATGTGGCATGTACATATAATGGAACTATTTATCAATAAAAAAGAATAAGTTCTGATACATGCAATATTATGTCATGGATGAATCTCAGAATCAGTATTTTAGGGGAAACAAGCCAGACACAAAAGAGTGTATAATATATGATAAATAAAAAGTAATAGTGACTAAAAGCAGACCCATGATTGCCTTTGTTAGAGGATTGTAGAATTCAGATTTAATGGGATCGATAGCTGGTTCTTGTCCCCTGCCCACATTTTTGTCTTTTGTCAGATTGGAAGGCTGTTGATGAAGGGATTGATGGAGGGCTGAGCAAGAGCTTCATCTTGTGAAAAGAGAGATGGAGACTATTGGGTCCCCAGTATTTTTTCCAGCCCAGTCTCCTTAGAATAGGCCAATGGAAAAGGCATAAACAAGTGAGAAATTTCCTCGTCTTACCACTGATGTCTTGGCCAACCATTAAAGTCAGGGTCTTCATCAGTAGTTAAGCTAAAGAAGACAGTTACCATCAGATGACACCAAATCATAGCCAGCTCCTGGGCTGATCTGTAACACATAGCCAGACCCCAGATTCCTGGCAGGCTACTGGGCTCTGGGCAAGCTGGCTTATTTCCTTCATCTCATATGACATCATGGAAGGGTTAGATTGTAATCACTAGCATCTTGGCTGATAAAACTGGACCCCTACAAAAACAGTAAGATCAGGCTGTCCTCAGATTTCTGTTCTATATACTTAAATCTTACCTGCCAGTGAAATGTCCTTTATTGTTTTCATGAAGCATGTTTGTCCTTTCTTTGCTCCGAGGCAGTCTATGGTCCTATCTCAATGACAAAATATTTGCTAGAAAATGGGAAGATTTACCCACTTAGGAGGATATTTGTGTACTTGTCGAACATCTAGATGATTACACACATTGAAATGTTGAATGTGATGTCGACATGTGTTATTTATCTATTTTGAAGAGTGATATGTAGTAGAATGCGGTTTTTACTCTGGAGTATCATATATTATTTAACCTGGGATTTTTAAGATTTAAAATAAGTATTTTATTTCAAATCTTCGAGTTTTAAATTATATTTACTACTATGCAGTCAGTAATTCTAGTTACCTTGTTGAGAGGAGAAGCCATTTTGACCCTTTTACTAGAGTCATAGGATTTTAGAACTTGGAAGGATATTCCTAATATCCTTCTAATTTCCATTTTAAATAGATGAGAAATAGCAAAATTAATCGGACAGATTTAAGAGTGGGGCCAGGATCAGGATATGATCTTCACAGTTCTTTGCCGTCTATTGTGCTGTTGAGGTTTTTGAGTGCTCATCATATACATAATAATATCAGCCTTGGGTTATTTTCTTCCAGTGGCAGAATTATTTAACAGAATCTGTTTGAAGCTATAATGTTTTACATTCCTTTAGGATAAATGTAAAACTTTAGTCTATATGGAATAAAAATGAATTTCAGAGTATCTGGTAATTAATTTGCTCTTTTGTTTTGAAAATGTATATTTTACAGTTATACTTTCTGCATATAGATGATCTGCATACAGCTCATTACAGAATTCACCACAAGCTTTAATTCAGTTTTTCTATGCTTGCTTGTTTTTAATTATATAATTTATCATCTTTACCTTCAGAACCCAGAAGACAAACAAGGTGATACAAGTTATGAACAACCATATACCTTAAATTATAAATCAGTTACTTTAAAATTATTTAGAACATTAACATATCCCTTAAAGAAAGAAAATAGCTGACCTTAATGACAAGAATATACAAAACTTTGTGAATTTGTTGTCTAAATCTTTTCTTTTTAGATTTTGAATCCACTTGTTTCCAAGGCACAGCTTTCCCAAACAGTCCAGTCTCGTTTAGTCAGTTGTAAAATTTTAGGAAAATTGACCAACAAATTTGATGCCCATACGTGAGTATTTGTATGTAACTTTTTGTCTGTTTAAATTGTTGATTTAAAATGTATAATGACTATGATTAGCAGTTATATTAGATTTGTTTTATTCAATACTGCATACAAGTTTAGTTGTTTTAACTTTATAGGTTTCTCAGAGCTCTACTTATTCAGATGCATTTCTTTTTGAATTTGTGGCTTTTCAAAATCAACAAGGTTAACTTTTTTTCTGTTTCCGATCTTAGTCTTCTCTGTCACATACCTACTGTAGTTTTGAGGATGAAATGATATCATCACCCTACAGATTTCAAAAATTTTCAAACATGGCATAAAGATAGACTCTCTGGTTTCTTCCATTGTTATTAATTCCTTCTTTTGTATAATTTATCTTACTGTGCAATCTTATAGAAAATGTTTATAATTCATATGCTGCCCTCTACCCAGATGATAAATACCAAATAGAAAGAATGGAATATTGTGAATTATGACATAAGAGCAAAATAAAAATTGAAGAATATTAAGTTGATGGCTAGAATCAGATATTACACTTGTCTATAGCCTTTTATTTTAGCTAAGAGGTTTACCTGCCAATCAAAATTAACCATTATTTTAAAAAGACCCACTTATGTGTATAA